ATATGTCCGCCTGGAACGACAAGGCGATATTTGGACCAACCCTGGATTTCGTGCTGGAATCAGATGCGAGTCTTTGGGGCTGGGGTGCCACCTGCGCGACCGGGTCCACTGGGGGCCGTGGTCGGACAGGGAATCGGAATTCCACATTAATTGCCTGGAGTTGATTGCGGGGTCATTTGCGATTCGGAGCCTGGCAAACCACCTGTCGGACTGCTGCATCCTCCTTCAGTTGGACAATGTCTCAGTGGTGCAGTACATCAACCGCTTGGGGGGCATTCGGTCTCGAACACTGTCAGAGGTGACGAAGGAGATTTACAGCTTTTGTTTCCAACGCAACATCACCTTACAAGCAGAATATCTCCCGGTGGGGAGTCAAACCTAAGGGCGGACTGGTTCTCCAGACATTGGAGGGACGCCAGCGATTGGAAACTCCTTTGACCCATCTTCCTCGAACTCACGAATCAGATCCCGGATCCAGCGTGCGCAGTGGTGGACGCCTTTCTCCTTCGCAGGGAGCATATGTGTTTCCTCCGTTCACTATGATTCCCAGGGTTTTGCTACAAGTTTGATGTCAGCGTGTGTCCTTGGTGTTACTGACGCCGCTATGACAGAGTCAGGCCTGGTTTCCGGAGCTCTTGGATCTCTCCCATCGGGATCCTCTGCTCTTACCATCCCCTCCTATGCTCCTCTTGGACTCCCGGGGCAACCCCCACCCCCTAGTGAGGGACAGCCAGCACAGAGCACTATGTGAGCTCTGCTGAGTGATTGCAACCGGAGAATTATATTTCCCTCATGCTGCACATCCAGCATGCTGTCCCTGCTGATCACATAGTGATCGGTGCTGGGCAGCTGGCAAAGCCCAGAGCAAATCACAGCTGAAGTGCTTTATGGGTGTCGAGAGGTCCTTTAACTATGAATGACATTAAATCAGGGGTCACATTTGTAGAAGCCACGAAGACCTGACTAAGTAGCCTTTAGGTAGGTTCTGATTGGTAGGTGTGAAAAGTGCAAGGTGAAAAAAAGACAAAACGAAACGAGAAGGGGTAAGGAATGACATAGGTCTCCCAGGATGCTTTAAGGTTTTTTCACTCTAAGATCAATATAGATCTTAACAAGAGAATTAAGAAAGTCACTAGTTACTTTGTGGGACATCTTATACATTTGAGCAAGACTTGGGGTCTCCCATCATTTAATAAAATTTTTAAAAAATTGTAATTAGAATGTGAAATGTAATTTTACTTGACAATATCATCCCCATATTACTGTAAGGGAGGTTTTAAACCTCGCTATGACACCAGCTTAAATTAATCTTAAATTTTCGATCCCCCCCCCCGTCCATTGTCACTATTTGTGAAAGAAAAGAATACAGGAAGATTAAAAACATTGGTCTTGCTTTCCCCTCCCCAACCCCCCCATGCTCAATGTATTATGCTCTCCCATTGCCAATTGCCTACATTTTATATTTATTACCTTACCTGATCTCCATACACAAACCATTTTGTTCTCATCTCTGCTGCCAATGATGTCTGCTGTTTGCCCTTTCTGTGTGATTGATTTTACTGAGGACTGTGGGTACATTTGATTGGCAGCTGAAGCATAATCTTTTTGTAAGCTCTGCCCATTGTTACATTTTAACTTGCTATTCATAAGAAATGTAGTTTCTAGTTCATACTTATGAATATTATGAAATTTAGAGCACTCAGGAATTTAAAAATAAATAAATTCAGACACAGGGGCGATATAAAAGCAGATTAGACAAGGTGGCTCTGTCACTAAAAACAAACTTTAAATGCTGTAGCACTTTATCCTGTATAATCCAAACTCCTATTTACTGTAAACATGTTGGTAGCAGCGGTTTGCAAAATCTAAAGCCTTAGGTTATTCTTTGCTGCATTTTAAAGCAAAAAAAGTATTTAAAATGTATGTCTTTTCCTCATTTACTAACACACCCATTTATTTTTTTCACTTTAGCTGTTTAGCAACATTTTCATCCTTGAATTTTTTTTTTTAAATTCAATTTGTTAAACTTTTTTACTTTGACTGACCTTCCTTCTAAGCCACATGGGTTCTATTTATTTATTTCTTACCTAAACATATATGTTCATATGTGTTTATTATAATACTATGCTGAGTAGAAGTGTGTTATATTAACCCATTAAAGGGACACTATAGTCACCCAGACCACTTCAGCTCAATGAAGTGGTCTGGGTGCCAGGTCCCTCTAGGTCAGTGATGGTGAACCTTTTTGAGCCCGAGTGCCCAAACCGCAATACATGCCAACATTTTTTCTCCTTAAAGTGCCAACACGGCAATTAAACCCAAATACTGAGGTTTAAGTTTAGAAAAAAACAACTCGTACTTTTGTTTTAAAAGAACACAGAGAGTTCAATGATACAAATTTTAAATAATGATATAAATAGATAAAATTAAGCTTATATTTATTAGTATCTCCAACAAATGCAATACATACACAGACAGACTGCTGAATACATACACACAGTCTGCTGAATACACACACACAAGACTGCTGAATACAGAGACTGATGAATACACATACAGACAGACTGCTGAGTACACACACACACACACAGACTGCTGAGTACACACACACAGACTGCTGAGTACACACACACAGACTACTGAATACACACATACTGCATTGTGTGAGTGTTGTATGTGAGGAGTGCTGTGTGTGTGTGTGGGGGGGGGTGCTGTGTGTGTGTGTGGGGGGGTTGCTGTGTGTGTGTGTGTGTGCTATATGTGTAAGGGTGCTGCGGAGGGGTAGGGGTACTGTGTGT